CACTAAATTGATGGAGACCTCTGGAAGGAGAAAATTGGGTTTTGGTGATAATTGCTGTCCACAACACACCCGAACAACCCCTGAGAATAGGGGTATCACGTTACTGAGGGAGTGTCTAAAAGCACTGTTGTACTGAAGACCAAGTTCGGGCGCTGTTTTAAGGTTGGGGAGATGAAGAATGCTCGAAGTAGCTCCAAAGGGAAAAGAGAGCTTCTTCCCGTGATTGGTAGTGATCAGCAAAATTTAAAGCCTCTTCGAATCGTACCTCAAGTCTTTTTATTTCTCTTCTATTTCTATTTCCCTTTCCTTCTATCGCTCCAGAAGTCGTTCATACGAGATCCTCCCATGTGTTGGCAAATCCGACCTAGATTCATTTTCCCATATGTTTCCCCTCCTGCCTTCCTATCTTTTTCCTCCGATCCATAAATCCTTGGGTTAATCGCGAATTCTCCCACGACACGGTCCCTTTTAAGGAATAATTCGTTCGTTGCAGGTACACGATCGCTGACAACTGGGTCGCAACCCGTATGACCCCGCCCATCGTCGTACAGGTATCTTTCCAATCTATCCGCCATCCATACTCCTCCATTTCTCTTCCATGTCTTTAATACCACTGCTGAAATCACTATTAGCAACATAAACCCGTCTAACCATAAAAGGAATTTTCTCAGGGATTTTCTTAGGCATAATTTGTTCCTGCAACTTTCGTTTATTTTTTGGCTCCGTTTCTTGGAAAAATATAACCCCTATAAACTATTATTGCTTTTCGGCAATGTCACTACAATCGCTGCGAAAATCTTGGCCTTATTCAGGAAGAGTGCGACAAGGAGGAGACCAGCTGTTGAAAGTTCAAGAAAGACTGTGAAACAAGTGAAGCAAAAGCATCAGGAAGTGCAAGAACGACGGGATTCCAACGGAAAGTGAGTCAACCCTTCCTCAAACTTCTACTTTGAAAATCACTAATCTGCCTTTTCAGCATAATCAAGGAAAAATTGAAAAAGAGGACTCGATCGCCACTCGATTGTGGACTGCAGTTGTTGCTGTACTCAATAAGAGGCCCAAGTTTCGCCCTAACGGCCGGAAGGTATGCCTTTCAAGGAAATTGGGGCTATCGCAATTTATGGGGGCATTTTGGTGGTAAATTCAAATGGAGTCGCGTAAAACATCGCCTTGGTGATTTTGGGACTAAGCCGCAGGAGGGGGAGGAAAGCCTGCAGGTGCGCGAGATTTCCATCTTCTTCAAAGTCCTCTTCTACCTAGGGGCCCTGTATCTTGCAATGGCACCAGGAAATAAAT